CCATCCACGTGTCCATCTGCCCATCCACGTGTCCATCTGCCCATCCACGTGTCCATCTGTCCATCCACGTGTCCATCGGTCCCTCCCACCCACCACAGATGAGGTCACATGGTCTCTGTTCCCCCCAGTCCCACCTCCCACAGGGTGACACGGACCTCACCGTCACACCCTCCCCCTGTCCATCTGCCCATCCATGTGTCCATCTGTCCATCCACGTGTCCATCAGTCCCTCCCACCCACCACAGACGAGGCCACGTGGTCTCTGCTCCCAACGGTCCCACCTCCCACGAAGTTCTGCAGATCCCACGGTCCCACCGCCCTCTCCCCCTGACCTCCTTCCCCTCCCGCCCAGGTGTTCTTCAAGGCGGGGCTGCTGGGGCAACTGGAGGAGATGCGGGACGAGCGCCTGTCCCGCATCATCACCCGCATCCAGGCGCGGGCCCGGGGGCAGCTCATGCGCCTCGAGTTCAAGAAGATCGTGGAGCGCCGGTGGGTGAGGCGGTGGGGACGGGGCTTCTCCCAGGCCGGGCGCGGGGGTCACCCGTGGTGGCACCCGCGTCCCTCCCCTCCCCTCCCCGCAGGGACGCGCTGCTGGTGATCCAGTGGAACCTGAGGGCCTTCATGGGGGTGAAGAACTGGCCGTGGATGAAGCTCTACTTCAAGATCAAGCCCCTGCTGAAGAGCGCGGAGACGGAGAAGGAGATGCAGGTGGGATGAAGGGGGCGGGGCAGGGCAAGACCACCGCTGGTGAGGGTTGGGTGGGTGATGGACATGGGGTTGGACTCGCCGCGGGTCTCCCGGAGCAGAACATGAAGGAGGAGTACGGGCGGCTGAAGGAGGCCCTGGAGAAGTCGGAATCGCGGCGGAAGGAGCTGGAGGAGAAGATGGTGTCCATGCTGCAGGAGAAGAACGACCTTCAGCTCCAAGTGCAGGCCGTGAGTGAGACGACCCCCCCCCCCCCCCAAAAACCACATCCCGGGGATGACCCCTGTCACCCCCCCAGAGCCACCACTTGTCACCCGCCACCCCTCCCACAGGAGCAGGACAACCTGAACGACGCCGAGGAGCGCTGCGACCAGCTGATCAAGAACAAGATCCAGCTGGAGGCCAAGGTGAAGGAGCTGACGGAGAGGCTGGAGGACGAGGAGGAGATGAACGCCGAGCTGACGGCCAAGAAGAGGAAGCTGGAGGACGAGTGCTCGGAGCTGAAGAAGGACATTGATGACCTGGAGCTGACCCTGGCCAAGGTGGAGAAGGAGAAACACGCCACCGAGAACAAGGTGAGGGCGGGGAGGGGACTTGAGTCAACTCAGCTGGGTTGGGTTGAGGAGACCCAAGGCTGGGTGGGTTGGGAAGACCCAAATCTGGTTGGGTTGGGTTGAGAAGACCCAAATCTGGTTGGGTTGTACTGAGGAGACCCAAGGCTGGTTGGGTTGAGAAGACCCAAATCTGGTTGAGTTGGGAAGACCCAAATCTGGTTGGTTTGTATTGAGGAGACCCAAGGCTGGTTGGGTTGGGGAGACCCAAATCTGGTTGGTTTGTATTGAGGAGACCCAAGGCCGGTTGACTTGGGAAGACCCAAATCTGGTTGGGTTGGGTTGAGGAGACCCAAGGCTGGGTGGGATGGGTTGGGTTGGGTTGAGGAGACCCAAGGCTGGTTGGGTTGGGAAGACCCAAATCTGATTGGGTTGGGTTGAGGAAACCCAAATCTGGTTGGGTTGGGAAGACCCAAATCTGGTTGGGAAGACCCAAATCTGGTTGGGTTGTATTGAGAAGACTCAAGGCTGGTTGGGATGTGTTGGGTTGGGTTGAGGACACCCAAGGTTGGTTGGGAAGACCCAAATCTGGTTTGTTTGCATTGAGTAGACCCAAGGCTGGTTGACTTGGGAAGACCCAAATCTGGTTGGTTTGTATTGAGGAGACCCAGGGTTGGTTGGGAAGACCCAAATCTGGATGATTTGTGTTGAGAAGACCCAAGGCTGGTTGGGTTGGGAAGACCCAAATCTGGTTGGTTTGTATTGAGGAGACCCAAGGCTGGTTGGGTTGGGGAGACCCAAATCTGGTTGGTTTGTATTGAGGAGACCCAAGGCCGGTTGACTTGGGAAGACCCAAATCTGGTTGGGTTGGGTTGAGGAGACCCAAGGCTGGGTGGGATGTGTTGGGTTGGGTTGAGGAGACCCAAGGCTGGTTGGGTTGGGAAGACCCAAATCTGGTTGGGTTGGGTTGAGGAGACCCAAGGTTGGTTGGGTTGGGAAGACCCAAATCTGGTTGTGTTGGGAAGACCCAAATCTGGTTGGGTTGTACTGAGGAGACCCAAGGCTGGTTGGGAAGACCCAAATCTGGATGGTTTGGGTTGAGGAGACCCAAGGCTGGTTGGGTTGGGAAGACCCAAATCTGGTCGGGTTGTATTGAGGAGACCCAAGGTTGGGTGGGATGTGTTGGGTTGGGTTGAGGACACCCAAGGAAGGTTGGATCAGATCGAGAAGACCCACGACTGGTTGGGTGGGATTTATCAAGAAGACCCAACACGTTTTGGGTTCTCTGCGTTGAAGTGACCTCATTGGCCAAGGCGAACCCTCTCCTGGCACCGAACCGGAGCCTGGACGCTTCTCCCCCAGGTCAAGAACCTGACGGAGGAGATGGCAGGGCTGGACGAGACCATCGCCAAGCTGACCAAGGAGAAGAAGGCCCTGCAGGAGTCCCACCAGCAGACCCTGGACGACCTGCAGGCCGAGGAGGACAAAGTCAACACCTTGACCAAGGGCAAAGTCAAGCTGGAACAGCA